GTTGACATTTTAAAGAAAGTCTAACTCTCTTAAATGAGCTGAGGCTGACAGTAAGTCACAGAGAAATGGCTTGAGTCTCTGCTGTGGTAGCTGATATCATGGAAATACCACTGGATTAGGTGGCCAGGCTCAGTTGTCAGCTCTACACCCACCGCTGTTAGGGTGACTGAGCAGGTGACAGGGCAGCAGGGAATCTTCTCCTGATGAAGCCCTGCCAGCCACAGAAGTGTGAAAATAAAAAATACCAAGAGCTGGGAAAAATACCCAGCTTTGGTAACACAAGAAAAGAATAAACAAGTTAAAATATGTTTCACATTTATTTTATATGAACATATGTGATCACAGGAGATCAACAGTACACCTATAATTGTATAGACTGAAGAAAAATGTGATGAGCAATATGTTATATTCCTTCTTTCAGACAATAAAAGAAAAAGTGAAGATTTAATAGTAGCATGAACAAGTAGTAAAGCATAATGGTTAATACCTAGAAGAACTGGAAGATTGTCAAAAGTAAGAAATAATAAAAGCTGTAGCAAAGAACTGAAAATCAACACTACCAAGGAAAAACCATAACAGAATCCCCAAGATATGGCTGGATTAAACAAAAATGTAAAAATAATCCAAACAATGTAAAAAAAAGGAGAAAAAGAGATACATATGTACACCCAGAGAGCCTGGGACTAAGGGAAGTGCCTGAAATAACAGAAAAGACCAAGACAAAGCAAACCAAACTTAAAGAAGTGACTTGGGTAGGTGACATGGAGACCACAGGAAGCAGATTTGGGACATAGCCGGAATAGTGAATGAGGCTACCATGCATCTTTACTTAGGAGTAAGTCTCAGAGCTCAGAATACCTCCTCTGAAAGCAAAGCTCTGCAATGATTAACAAAAAAAAATCAGATAAACATGTAATAATTTCTTATATCAGCTCTTAGGAAAGGGTTTAAGAAGAATCAAAGAAAATGGTAATTGATAGGCTAACATCAGCTCAATACCCAGCAAAGATGAAATTCTCTTTGAGGAGAGAACACTTAAATCTACAAGATTTAAGGGAATTTGCCAACAAAAACCTACAGTTAAGCTGGTCATGGTAGCACATGCCTGTAATCCCACCACTCTGGAAGGCTGAGGCAGAAGGACCACAAGCTCAAGACCAGTGTAGGCAACTTAGTGACTTAGCAAGACCCTGTCTCAAGCAAAGGGATGGGGGGAGAGCTGGGATATAGCTCAGTATGAAGGCCCCAGGTTCAATTCCCAATACTGTAAAAAATCCAAACAAAAACAAACCATAAAAATCCTATAGTTAAACAGAAAATATATCTAAAAATATATGTAAGGGAGAAGGTGAGCTGGTCCCAGAACCCGGAAGGAAGCTCCCCCGCTGCCATCCCAAGCTCCTAGGGCAGAGAAGCTGAGCCAGTCCCAGCACCTGGAAGGAAGCTCCCCCGCTGCCATCCCAAGCTCCTAGCGCAGAGAGGGTGAGCCGTGTGGGCGCCAGAAGCACTGCCCACCATGGAAATGAGAAGACATGTAAACAAGCCTCAAAAACAGACTTCTGGATCACCTACAGCAACACCAAAGGGAAAAGAGATGGAACAATCTGATACTCAACCACCTGGACTCTCTGAACTGGCAACAAAAGAGGATCTGGGAAAAATGAAATCAGAAAT